AAGGCGTTTGCGACGTCGATTTGTCGTAGCTTTTTCTTCTTCATGGCGGCGATCGCGAGGAGAATGCGTAGTGAGGTGTGTCGGCTGACCGGAGCAAAGGTTTCGGTGAAGTCGCGTCCGTGCTCTTGGTCGAAGCCGCGTACGACCCAGCGCGCCTTGAATTTGTCGATGGTGCCATCTGCTTTCGTCTTCACGCGGAAGACCCATTTTCCGGTGAGAATGGTCTTGTTTCGTGCTACGCCGATAGGAACGATTTTCCAGGTGTTGCGTTCTTCTAGCGCTTTCAGCTCCTTGTCCATGGCTTCACGCCATTTTTCCCTGTGTTCCCCCCCCAGAGCCTGCTGAACCGTTGCAGGCTCCTTAGGAATGGCGGCACCGTGGACTGCGGTGACGAGCCCGAGTATCTGGAGTCCACTCTGTGTGTAGCGGGGGAGTGTGGTGTCCTCGGGATAGACTGCCTCGTCTCCAGCTTCTGGATCAGGTGCGAAGTTGGGCCCTATGCGTTCTGCTTCGTTGGTGTTGACTTCAGCAGGTGTAACGTAACCGTTGTCGGCGAAGTGGTAGTAGGTTTCGGCGTTGACGCTTTCGCGAGGGTTATCTTCGTCCATCGGTACGTCCACTGAGCAGTAGGGAAGAGGTCCGGCTTCTTCCGAGGCTCCTTCCACGTTCTGCTCGTCCCAGTCAGCTTCGTCTCCTGCCGAAGCGAAGGCTCGATCGCCACGGAAGCCACCTGTGGGGTCTCGATTTTCGTCCAGGTTGGCAAGGTACGTTGGCAGTGTGAGCCGCTCGTAGAAAATGACATCACGTGCTGCTACTGTTTCCTTGGTGTGGATGTCGAAGATTTTCCACGCGTTGTAATGTTTTTCGATGCCCAGGTGTAGTCCCCACTGTGCGCGTTGGGAGAATCGGCCGGCTCGTGCAGATGGGGGTCGGTACTGTACCATGCAGCCGAAGACTCGTAACATTTTTGTGCTGCCCAGTTTCCCTGTCCACAGCAGATGCGGTGATGCGTTGTTCGGGAGTGACGACGAAGAAAGCAAGTTGTGCAGCATCACGGCGTGGTCCATTGCTTCGGGCCACTGGTGGTTGGGTAGCCGCATGCCACGTAACAGTTTGCGCATGGTGTTCTGCAGAGTCCTGTTCATCCTTTCTGCTACACCCTGCTGTTGATGGGCGTAGGGAAGGGAGATGAGTCTCTTGATTCCTTTCTCCGCCAGATACTGCTTGAACCGCTGTGACGAGTATTCTCCTCCTCCGTCTGATTGAAAACTTTTGAGCTTAGCTCCCGATTCCCGTTCTGCTGCTGGAAGCCATGCCACGAAAGCCTCGAAAGCCATGTCGCGACTTGGTAAGTTTAGGTGCCAGACGTAACGTGTAGCGGCGTCGATGAAGGTGATGGTGTAGTTATACGCGTTTTGTCCGGGTTCGCGGTTGTACAAGATGTCGCTGTACACTTTCTCGAGTGGTGCATATGCAGGTGCGCTTGGGTTGTGATGCGAGACGAAGGGCTGATGCGGTAAGTCAGCTTCGGGGCAGGTGAAGCACGTTCCTCGGGCTCGCTGAAGTTCTCTGCCGTCGATCAGTAAGAGTGAATCCTTGTCAAGTACTCCAGCTCTTATCGTGTTGTTTAATACTGTGTTGCTTGGGTGTCCCATTCTTGCGTGCCAGGTTTCTTCGTTGGCGCGGTGTCCTGGCGAGCGTCGGTACATGTCGGAGTTGGAGTAGAAGCCGGCGATGATGTTCGCGCTTCTGTGAACTTCCCGTGGTGCCGGGTTGAGCTGCTGCGCCGGTGTTGGCGGCGTCTCGTCGATGAAGGGCTGTGCCGTTGAGGGACCGGCGACTGGTGTTGATGTTTCTGCTGCTGCTGCTGTTGTCTGTGCTGCTGTCGATGTTGTTTCTGCTGCTGTCGATGTTGTCTCTGCTGCTGCCGATGTTGTCTCTGCTGCTGCCGATGTTGTCTCTGCTGCTGCCGATGTTGTCTCTGCTGCTGCCGATGTTGTCTCTGCTGCTGCCGATGTTGTCTCTGCTGCTGCCGATGTTGTCTCTGCTGCTGCCGATGTTGTCTCTGCTGCTGCCGATGTTGTCTCTGCTGCTGCCGATGTTGTCTCTGCTGCTGCCGACTGCTGAATTGTCGCCAGCGCCCTTGTTCTTTCTGTTTCAGGGATGGTGTGCGAGTACCAGAAGCCGCTCGGGCTGAAGTCTGGATCAAGATCTGGAGGATGTGTCCAGTCAGTGAAGTTGACGATGGCGTCGCTGTCGGCCGTTCCGAGATCGGGGACGAAGTCAAGAACGAAGACGTTGTTCTTGAGAACCGCCTTGCCGATGTAGAGACCTCCTCTCCCGTGGTATAGCTTGAATTCCTGGGTTGTGCTGTCTGCTTCAAGGTGAATGCCTTTCGCCATCAGTTGACTGACGCTGAGTAAGTTGTAGCCGAGGCCTTCTGCAATTAAAACCTTGGACATCTGTAGAATGACGTTCGTTTCTCGTGACTGAAGTTGAACAACTCCTTGTCGTCGTGTGCGCAGGTTCTGATTGTTGGCGACGGTGATGACCACCTCTCGTTGAAGCTGGTATTCTCGTTGTACGAAGCGTCCTGAGGAGCACATGTGTTGTCCGCAGCAACTGTCCAAGAACCACGTGTCCTTCCCGGATGGCTCGTTTTGGGCTATGGCAGCGTATGTCGGGTTCGGCTGAAGTGACTCGCGGCGTGGTGTCGTTTCGTCGAGTTGCTCTTCTGGTGAGTAGTACGGTGGTGATTCTGTGATGCAAGAATCGTTCAGTCTTGCCATGCAGCTAACGATGTTTCTTGCTCCTTGTGCAGGTTGTCCTGTTGGCGTCGTTGAAGCTTGAACTTGAGTCGTGGGATTTGCTTGTGTTGAAGCAACTTGGTTGCTTGAAGGCCGGAGCTGCCGCTGCGGAGTCGTTGACTGTTGTCGATTCGGGCAGTGCGTACGTGGATGTCCCGATGTCTTGCAGATGTGGCAGAAGGGAGGTACGGGTTTCGGTTGATATCGGGTGCTATTGTTGTAGTAACGCCGTTGAGCATGAAATGCGAACTCTGGTGCTGACCCCCTTTTCTTGTGTCGTTCTTCTTGCAGGTCCATGTCTTGCTGCTCGGCGTGGATTTCGGCACAGAGTGCTGCTTCGGAGATTCTTCCGTGGGCTCGGAGGATCGCCTTCGTTGCGCGCCATTGAGGCCTGAGGCCGCCGATGATGACCGTCACGAAGGCGTCTTCAGATATTGACCCTCCGCATCGAAGAAGCTTGTCGCGCAGCTCGCGACATCGGCTGATATACGCCATTCCCTTCTCTCCTGGTTTCATTTCGACTGTTGTCAGTTGCGCCATTAACCTGCTCTGGTTTACACTGTCTGTTGCTTGATACAGGTTCTTCAGGTGGCTGTACGCGAGCTCAGCGGAGTTGCCGTAACCCCGGTAAGAGCGAATGTTCTGCTGCTGTGTTGGCGTGACGTTCCTCAGTAGAATCGTATACGCCATCATCGATTGATACGTATACTGCTGCTTCTCATATTGTGTGCCGTTCGTTGGATATTGCAGGGACCCGTCGAAGAAGCCAAGTATCTGCGCGCCTTCCATCATGAGCTCGAACTCAAATGACCAAGTGAAGAAGTCCTTCCCGTCGAAGGGCCTTGACGTCTGCAGCTTCAAGACGTGTGCGAATTGCGACTGAACTTGCAGTGCGTCCAGTGGTCTTTCTTGTCCAGGTGGAGCTTGCGGGTGCGGCATGAAGCTGATGGACCCGCGTTCGTACGGAGCAAAGGTGGGTTGCTGCTGTTGATTTCCGCGCGCATATGATGTCCCGTCGAGGCTCATTGGTGTCGCCTCATGATTGTTGTTGCTGTTGCTTGACTGTGCAGGTACCGACTGCTGGTGTTGCTCGTAGAAGGACATGAAGGAGAAGAACTTCTCCATCATGCTCTGGTCGAAGCTGGCGGGGTGATTCGCGGGTGTTTCAGTAGACGTTGCTCCCGGTCTTGTTGCCGTGCCTTCCTCCGTCTGTAGGCCAGAGGTAGGAGGTGGGGTGGGACTAGTGCCAAGGGAGCCGTTGGATGAGCTCCTTTCCTTCTGTGTTGCCATGACTTGTAATGTATTTGATGATCTGATAGTAGTGGAATTTCCCCCGTTGGCTCTCATACCATGTTGGGCTGAGAAAAGCCCTTAGGATCTTTGCGGGGGTAAAACTCCGGTAGGACTATGTAATAGCGGAAGCGTATTAGTGGAGAATTTGTGAACCACCTTGCGCTGGTATGTGAGGGCAAAGTAAGTTGATTAAAACAAGGAGATACAAGAATATATAGAAGATTACAAGGAATACGAAAGGATATAGTTGTAACTACTTTTGCTGTTGCGGTTCGATACAGTGACGACTCGGGCAACTGCTCTGTAACGAGTCAGTTGTGTGTCCTTGCTGTCGCGCTGCACTTGTCAGGTCAAAGGTCGCTTGACCTTTGACTTTCGCGTAACCTCCAGCAACCTCTTTTAACCTCCGAGGGTTGACTCGCGGGTGCTTCGACATGGCGTGCTTCACTTTTGGTGTGGTGTTTCGACACGACAGAGGCGTTTACGATTTATTGTTTCCAACAGTGGCGACCCAGAAGTGGTTCAAGGGGAAAAAGAAAGGTCGAGCCAGTTGACACGAGAAGTTGGAACATTAAGCAGGCATACACACGGAATTATTACCGTATGTTCTTTTGCTCTTCCACCACCTATAAAACAGCCCTACCTATGCTTGCGATTTTCCAATATCGTGCGAGTTTGCGATAGATACCGTAAGAAGTACAACCCTGAATACAGTTTGCTTACGCACAGTGATTACTCACACAAACTCATCATCATGCGCAACCAACCAGAACTTTGAATGCCGCTTCAACTGCAGCTACCAGGTCGCAGGAGCTGTATTCAACCTGAATTCTCCCCATTCGATACTTCATCCCATCACGCTCTTACCAGCTTGTAGCTATATACAGACAACACTAGGCTTCACTGAATAGACTTGACTGATTGCTCCCCATTGGATTCTTCTTCACCCATTCTCTCAATAGCTTCCAGGTCAGCAGTCAAGTCGCCCTCAAACGACATCCCAACCCCCCTCTCCTGAGCTAGCTTGTCCACCTTGACCGCTGCACTGAGCTCCTCCTTCCCCACCACCTTGTGCCTGATTCCCTGCAGCTCGTTGGCAATGTCTGCCATTCTGGGCCGGCTTGCAGTGCGCTCGGCGGTGCAGGAGAGGGCCAGCTGGGCGAGGCGCAGCACAGCATCGTCCGGGGCGTCCATGCTCGGGTCCTTGAGGGGCCCCGTTTTCTTGGAGGCAATGCATTCCTCGGCCTGCAGGCAGCAAATCGATGTGAAGGTTAGTGGCTGTGACACGATGTGCATGGGCGTCCGTGTTGAGGCCCCTGTAGCTGCCATGGTTGTCGAAGGAAGAGCACTGAAGCGAGGATAACAAATTGAACAAGGTGGGTGACAGTGAAGAGAGGATGGGTGACAGTGAAGAGAGGATGGGTGACAGTGAAGAGAGGATGGGTGACAGTGAAGAGAGGATGGGTGACAGTGAAGAGAGGATGGGTGACAGTGAAGAGAGGATGGGTGACAGTGAAGAGAGGATGGGTGACAGTGAAGAGAGGATGGGTGACAGTGAAGAGAGGATGGGTGACAGTGAAGAGAGGATGGGTGACAGTGAAGAGAGGATGGGTGACAGTGAAGAGAGGATGGGTGACAGTGAAGAGAGGATGGGTGACAGTGAAGAGAGGATGGGTGACAGTGACAGAGCCTACTGGGGCGCACATGCTGGGGCCCTTAAGGCAGGAAGAACACTGGTGTGAGGGTTAGTGACATGATGTGCAGGGTCACAAATGCTAAGGCCCTTGAGGCAGGCCGGGCTATCCAAGGTTGGAGATGAGTGACACCGATACGACATGCAGAGACGTCTGTGCTGAGGTCCTCGAGGCTGGGGGAATGTTTGGTAGAGATGTGCTGCCCTGCCTGCCGGAATGAAGAGAAATTGACATGGTCAACACTCAGGACACTTATTCACTCATGCAGGTGGAGATGCTGGAGGGGAACAGCAGCATGTTGAAAGTGAATATTTACGACGCCTCAAGCATTCACTTTTATCAACGTGTTGGACGAGAGCAGCAACGTGTTGAGGAAGTACCAACCACACAGGATGCGGGTGCTTACTCATTCACAAGGAATCGGAACAAAAGCAGTACGTACCCTTTAAGAATGTGGTTGTTCTTTCCACCACCAGCAATACGGCGCTTGAACCAATCACATGTTCCGTACTGACAAGCAGTACTTACCCAGATTGGCAAAGACACAACACAGAAGCAGCACACAAGCAGCACACAAGCAGCACATCAGCAGCAACACTTACCCAGTGCAGAATGTGGCCATTTGTTTCACCCTCGTCAGCATGGGGACTGCGGCCGGTGAGCACAACAAGCATGAGCACACCGAAGCTGCACACACAGAGAAGGGAGAACAGAGAAAAGAAGAATCAAACATTGTTAACACTATTAAGGGTGTCATTGTGCAGTGTACATCATGTGTTGAGCTGGTTTTTGAGAATCAACAGCTTGGCGGTGAAAATGGAATTAATAGTATCCCCGCCGGTCTGCTCCTTCTCGCTCCCTTCTCTCTCTCTCTAACCTCCGTCCCAGACCCTTGATTAGGGATGAGCAATATGACGAACACCTGTTCGGTTCGCCTCGAACACGTTCGAGGCGAACCGAACAGGATTTTTTTTGGGCCTAAAGTGTTCGGGGCGAACGTGTTCGGTGTTCGCCCGAACACGTTCGCCGTTCGCCCGGCTCAGCTGGCCGAGGCGCGTCGAACACGAACGTGTTCGTGTTCGACACGGGCCTTCGACAAACACCAATGTGTTCGTCGACGAATAGGCCCGCGACCAATTTTTAGGTCGCGGGTCTTGGTGTTTGGGCTCAGATCAAGGCATTTCGCCGTTGCTTAAGTGCGGATCAAGGCATTTCGCCGTTGCTTAAGTGCGGATCAAGGCATTTCGCCGTTGCTTAAGTATAGATCTAGCATTCCGCCGTTGCCTAAGTGCGGATCAAGCGTTTCGCCGTTGCTTAAGCTCAGATCTAGCATTTCGCCGTTGCTTAAGCGTAGATCTAGCATTTCGCCGTTGCTTAAGCGTAGATCTAGCATTTCGCCGTTGCACGATGGCGCTAGCTTGGATGAAGCAGGGCGGGACTGGCTTGGGGGGTGGGGGGAGGGAATGTGAAACATTTGGATTTCACTCTACTTGGATCTGAGAAGGTCCTCTAAGGCGAACGCGAACATGTTCGTGTTCGCCAAAACGTTCGAAATGTTCGCCTCTCTTGGCGAACTTCGAACACCCTTTTTGGTGTAAAGTGTTCGGCGAACCGAACAGTGTTCGGTTCGCCGAACAGCCATGTTCGAGCCCAGGCGAACACGAACATGTTCGTGTTCGCCATTTGCTCATCCCTACCCTTGATATGAGCCGTGACCATCCTCTCCCTCTTCTTGCTCTCTCTGCTTCTTCTCTCCCATGCTTATCTCCCTCAAAATTTCGTCTCACTGCTCCTTCCTGATAGCCATCAGAGCTTATGTCTGTCCCTTCTTCCTCGTGGAGTATGTGATGATCTTGTCCCTTCCTTCTTCTTGCTTTTCAGGCAGCACTGAAATAAGCCGTACCCCTCCCTCGTGAGGGCTCAGTCGATTTGCTTCAGTATCTATGCACTGCTTGCCTCCGTGGTTAGGAAACAAATTGCAGTAGTAGAAACATGCAAGCCAAAAGCACTGAACTCGAGTGGAATCCCTGCCTTAAATCCAACCATCCTTCTACCTGATTCTCTTAACCCACACGCTATGTGCTAGCTGGGTCCCACTCGGCCCACTAGTAATGCACCGCCTTCCAGAATGGCTGGATTTGGATTCTCAAGACCCTTCGCAACTTGAGTTCCAGATTGCCACACCAGCATGCCAAAAGACAACCAAATGCGACCAAAAGCAATAAATGAGATGAAAAACAAGCACATGTGTTAAGACTTGGAAGCTATCTGGACTGGACATCACTTATGAGGCTCACAATAACTAGACATCTCTCCTGAGGCACTACAAATTGCACTTCACTGAATGAAACTTTCAGGCAATCAGCTCGAGATCTTTTCAGTTGCCCTGGAACAGTCATGCCACCACTTAGAAACACATTTGTAATCCTAACCCACCTAGAGACAACAGTCACTTGGTCATCTGTAGCCATCGGTGTCAGCGGAAGCCTTGAACTGAATACAGCTCACCTATAAACATCGGTGGCAGTGGTGGCCTTGGACGTGCGTGAGTAGATGGGATCCACATAGCCCGGTGTTCCCATCACCCGAGTCGTGCCCACAGTGGTGCCCTCGCCCACCCTCAACAGCCCAAAGTCAGCAATCTTGGCCTGATGGATGACAGGGACAACAAGCATGATTGAAAGATAAGGACAAGGGCTATTGAGACGATCACGATGGGTACACTAATTTCAATATGTTTGCAATTTTGAAAACCAGGTACTGAGATCATGTTGGTTGGTGAACGTGAGTACTCAGACATGTGGTGAGCAGACATTGTAAAAGATGCAAGGATAACCGTGAGCATTGCTTCACTGAAGAAACGGCTGCGGTTAGGGTTGAGCAAAACTCGAACGTTATCGGGTCGAGCATATAGCGGACATGGTAAGTGGGCAAACTGAACATGTTTGGTTCAACCCAAACACTTCCCGAAATGGGTGCTCAAGTGCTCGCCTTTGTAGACAAACACTTATAGTTGCCTAATAGGTGTATCACGCTATAGTTCACAACACAGTGGTTCCCTCTGCCCCACAATTGCAGTGTTTTCATTTATTCCTAGTGTGGTTTTAATAATGGAGATTTTTTCATCCAAGCATATTTACTAGAGCCTTCTTGTCTTTATTGTCTTGTCTAGGATGCATACGGATCACTCGCTTGCTTGCCTGCATGTTTTGTGTGAGGAGGATGTTGGAGGGCTTGATGTCGCGATGCACAAGGCCAAAGCTGTGGAGGTACTCAAAGCCACGTGCCGCACCAATGAGGATGTCCAGCCGCTGCTGGAAGGTGAGAGTGAAGGACGCCTCTATACACATGTACGGAACAACAGCGGAAAAGAAATGAGAGTGATGAGACATAAATCATACATCATGATTGACAGAAGTTGGGAGACACAATGAGTGACACAACATATGCATTCTGTCTTACAAGAAAACAACGAGACAGACGCTTGGTTGACTCCATTAAATTTCGTGACAAGCCGAGCATTACCGAATCCGAGTCCCTCTCCCTCTTTTCTAGCAAGTCTCACCACCTACTTCACCATGCTAGTGTTAGATACTGTGCATCTGGTGGCAAAATGCCGATCCACATGGATCTGATGGTGAAATGTTGCAATGATATTTTTCTGATTAGTCAAGTCAAATTTACTCTATTTGACTTGAACTAGAGTGCTTACAAAATAAAAATCTGTCCTTACAATCAATATATACATCTATGTATGTATGTACATGTATTATATTTTATTATGTATAATTGGTCTGTTTCTAGCACAACTAGTTTTACTGACTTGACTTAACGGAGAAATTTAATACCAGTCATTACTGGTCAATGTTGAGTAGAAAGTCATGGCTCGGTCGATGTTCGGAACAAAGAAGCGTACTTGCAATTCGGACAATTAGAAATTGCAAGTACATTTTTATACCGACATGACTTGGTCGATGTTCGCAACGATGTCTCTCCATTGATATAAAGTTTGCAAGAAAAAGAAAGGTTAGTTCCAAATGAGTACATTGTATGTACCTTTTTTAATTAACTGGTCAAGGTCACCATTAGGAACAAACTCATAGATCAGGATTTGCTCTGGCCGTGTCCTCATGTCCCCTCCAACAACAAATCCAAGCAGCCGCACGATGTTGGGATGGTTCTTGTCGGCCATTTGTTTGACCTACAAGAGGAATATGGAAAGATGGAATGTGGTGAGAGAGAAACAATTGTTGAAGGAATGGTTTTCACATTTTCAAAGCCCATGGCCTAGTCAACGTTTGAAAACTTGATGTCGAATAGTGTGCAAACTTGAGATAAGTGCACTTGCATTCTGGGACAATAGAGCAAGTAAAAAAGACCTTGCAGCAACTTTTTTGTTTGTTTGTTTGTTTGTTTGTTTGTTTGTTTTTCACTTTTATTATCAACATATGAGTTGGGCCCGACAAAAAGAACTCGGTCGAGTTTTACTCAAATCGAGAGCCCATTGAGGCTTGCCAAAACGAGTCGAGTAAAGCTCGTCTTACGTTTCACCAATCTACCTCACCTCTCGCTGGAAATTCACGTCAATCAGTTTGGCTCGCTTGACGGCCCACAGGGTGGTGCCATCGTGGGGACACACGCCCTTGTACACGTCACCAAAGGCACCCGAGCCAAGCTGGTTGTCAGAGGACCAGTTGTTGGTGGCTTTGAGGACTTCCTCTAGAGAGTACTCCTTGCAGGGAGTGCCCGGCATTTTTCTGGTCCAGCCTGTACGAGTTTAGAATGAAAGGGTGATGGATGGAAGGGGGAAGTGTGGAATGTGTGAGGGGTGGACGGGGTGAGGAATAGGAAGGGTGCGGGATGGACGTGTGGTGGGGTGAAAGGAGTGAGGGCCGAACCCGTTCAACTTGAAATGGTATGTGGTGGAAGGGCTAGAGGCATGGAGCAAACACATCTATTCTCCAAACAGACCCACCCACCTTCCAGCCAGGCCTGAATAGACAGAGGCACCAAAAGCATTTCTTTAGTGAATTCTCAAAAGCTAGGCCCGAGTAGAGCTGAATTTTGAGGCGCCTTTGTTTGTGTAACGCCAAGTGACTCTACTATCAATAAAACAAATCAAACTCCTGTGACATCATATACTGTACCCAGAAGTCTTAAAAGAATAAGGACGGTTGTGGGAGAGGGGTGGATGGTTGGAGGAAGTACAGAAATGTGCTGACACAATGTTGCTGCTTTTTCCCATGAGTGCTGAGACGCCACAAAACTTCCCCGTGAGTAGGTGGACTCCTGAATTCTCGCATTTACCCATGAAGAACAGGCTTGCACCGCTTCTTGACTTGCAGAAAGTCTTCCTAAAGGTGCAAAACTTCATTTGTCCATTTGTACTATACCAGCAGCACGCAATGCCTTCTCCATGCCATGCATACTATACCTGCAAGCAATGCCTTCTCCATGCATACTACACCTGCACGCAATGCCGTCTCCATGCAAACTACACCTGCACGCAATGCCGTCTCCATGCATACTATACCTGCAGCACGTGCTTCTCGTCTCCTGTGACCTCTCCACCACAGCAGCACTCCAACCACCACCAGCAGCACCACAGCAGCCACTGCAATGCCGGCAATAGCTCCCACAGACAAACCGCCTCCCGACTGGGAAGGAGGTGCTTCAGGTGAGAGGGGGGGGCTTGTAGAGGAGGAGGATGGGGCCATTGTGTTAGGAGCTGGAGACAAGGATGGGGACGTTGGAGGTGGGGAGCGGGGCGCTGGTGGTGGTGGGAGGGGGGCTGGAGGTGGGGTGAAGATGAGAAGGAAAATGAGGATAAAAAGCATTGTGTCTATATGCATTAAGGTGTACATGCATGTTGTATATCTTCGCGCACACACGTATAAATATATGTATACATACAGTGAAGTTGCGCTTGAATTGTTGAGTGGGAAGTACGCCAAAAATGTGGTGCGTTGTGTAATTTCGGTGGCAGAAATAAAGATTTGCCCGAAGATAAGCCTACCTACGCGATTGTGTAGACTAGCCGAGTTAGAACAGCCAGCCCCTTTTGTTGTATCCTTTTACTCACGTGTTTGTTGTGACGTGATGCAAGCAGCGCAGAAGGCGGGGCACTCGCTGCAAAAAGCGCTATCAGGAGACTGCTGAATCACACACGGGTTGTTGGGGAAAGCCGGGCACTGGATTGCAGTTCCATCCAGAAACCTGAAGACGAGGAAGGAAAGATGAGGAAGGAAGCGTTTGACCTCTGAAAGAGGAAAGTATTGAAGCACTAGCAAGGTTGGAGAAGGGCCCTCACCACAAACAGCAGCCATACCCCTTAGACATGCGCTGTCTGTAGCACTTGAGAGGGAAGACACAACTGAGCATCTTACACTTCATAGAGTTTGAGGAAAACTCCCTGTGTCAGATGGAAAATGATTGAGGTGCCTAAGAATTCATATCTTACAGATCCTTGAGTTTGGAGAGTTTGCCCAGTGTCGGAGGGAGGTATCCATTTAGATTGGTCCATGAAATTTCCCTGCATAAAGAGCATTGTTGAGCATACACACACAGAGCCAATGGACTGCGTACAAGAACCAAACTACTGTTGTGCATACGCAGAGCCATGTGAAAGTAATTTGTTTCTAGACATGTCAAACTGAGTTTGAAAAGTTTGCCCAGTGTTGTCGGGAGGTGCCCGGTCAGATGGTGCTTGAAACTACATCTATGGGGAGCATTTTTGCACATATGCAGAACCAAATAGTTGTTGTTGATGCACAGAGCCGGGTCGAACCGGATGAAAGAGATAGCTTGATAGCACATGCCATAGGCTTACAGCTCTTGCAGGTATTGCCTTTCAAAAGGCACTCATCGGCTGTGCTTCCAATTCTGGCTGCTTACAACTTACAAGGCCGTGAGCTGCAGGAGGTTGCCAATGGACTCTGGGATGCTGCCAGTCAGGTTATTAAATGCAAGGTACCTGTTGCAGGAATGACACCAGGAAAGGAAACTCCTGAAAAAGGATTATTAGAGTCATAAACACATTGTGACCATTTACTACTACGAACGAGATTGACAATGGGTGCGCTGTAAGCAACTAAGACAAAAATGAGTAAAGAGAATAGCAATAACTTTCAACGTAGTGATGTATTTAGAAAATAAAAAGTCGCAATGTGTTCAGTTACAGATATCACTAACAGGCCCACAAGGAAAAGGCCTCACGATTTGTTCAATTAAAGAGCTTACAGTACAGTCAATTTCTTTAGGTTGCCTATTGTTGTCGGGATCGAACCCGTCAGTTTGTTTCCCGAAAGCACTCTGTAGTTTGTACAATGGGGAAGTCAATAGTTGAGAAACACTGTCACAACAACAGGGTTTTAGCATCGATTTGAGACGACTCAAAAAGACATCTCACTCAACAGGTTACAGCTTATGGGGTTCACTTTTGAGAATTCTCAAAAGCATCTCTCTCAACAAAAAAAGTTACAGCTTATAGCAGAAGTTGCTCCCAGGTGCACGTCATGAAAACCTTAAGAGGGAATGAGGTTTTGAGAGCGAAGAGCTTTTAAATTAGAAACAGCAGGTAGGCATGCACAACGAGTCGAGAATCTATTTAATTGGCAGAGGTGAAGCGAGTTTTACTTGGCGAGGAAACGCGCGCTTGTTTTTACTGACTGGCAATGCAAACAAGCAAAAGCGAGTAATGAAAAAGGTTTTCAGGAAGAAGTGTTTTACTTCTAGCGACAGTGACCTTCAAGCAACTTGGCAGCGGGGGTTCAAATCTGTAAGAAACATGTGCATGCTAGTCATATTTTAATCAGAACAATGCTTTTCATTTTGGGTTGAAACACCTAATAATACGTCTGAAATAACGACAATAATTGGTCCTGCCTCACCTGTCAAACTACCAAGAAGGTACGCACTAAACACGCACAAAGCGTTCAATTTTGTGAGCTTGCTAACAGAGTCAGGAATGGGCCCTGTCAAGCTGTTGTTACCAAGGTTCCTGACAGACATTGGAGGGATGACGGTGAGAAAACGATGGAAGGCATGCACGCAGTGAGACGAATTAAGGCTGCTTGCTGTAAGTGTCATTAAATTGCACAGAATGGCGAATTTATGGCCTATTGCAAGCTGGCTAACTCTCACACCACCACCCTAGCTCAAGAAGCCCCCCCTCACCTCCACCAACATCCATACCCTCCCATGGACCAGCGCTGCCACCTGCTCGCTCACCAATCCCTCCCTTCTAGACAAGGCACGAGCAAGAGGAGGCTTGACCTTGGCTCATGACAAACGGCGGCCTCAGCTTGTGCATCACTATAGTAGGCCCACACCCGGCTTGTTCTGAGGTGGCTTAGCGCGCCCCTCGCTTATGAATAATATGAATCAAACATGAAAGTTCACTAGAATAACAACAAACTAACTGGAGAATCTCGCCACAGAGATTCACTTGCCACTACTGAGTAGTTTGTTGTTTGGATGATGCGCGGATGTGAGATAAAGCCATAAAGGGGCTACACAAGAACCATCTGGCATCCATCTCATCCTGTAAAGAGGCTCACATCGCAATCAGTGCTTCAAGGTTGCCTATTGCTGGGGAGATTGAGCCAGTTAGATTGTTTGCTAGAAGATAGCTGCATTTTGTGGAAATGGGAGTGTAATAATAGGTGAGTGAATGCCAGATCAGGGTCACGGGCATCAGCATGATCTTTTAGTGAAGACGGATACAATGAATGAATAGGCAGCATGCATATGTGCAAGGAGGGAAAGGTGTGGCAAGGTGCATCGTCGCACAGTGCAGTAAGCCACAGTGCACATTCCAAAAACATGCTCCAATCAAGCGAGAACAGCTTGCTCATCAACATCAATGCCAGCATGGAGTCAGGGATTGGGCCGTTCAAGTTCACGTCAGAAATACTTCTGATGAGTGGACATTGCAACAGGGGAGAGGCAGTAATACAGACAATATGCAAGCATGCATGCATGTTACATGCATGCATGTGCTCCATGCGTGAATTTGACATGCGTGTGCTGCATGTATGCATGTGACATACGCGTGTTTCATGTATGCACGTGACATGCGTGTGTTGCATTCATGTATGCATGTGACATGCGTGTGCTGCATGTATGCACGTGACATGCGTGTGCTGCATGTATGCATGTGACATGCGCGTGCTGCATGTATGCACGTGACATGCGTGTGCTGGAAGAACGACATGAAATGGTAGTTATAGGTTACTCTGGAATCTCACAGAAATCGGCTCAGCAGGCTGCTGAAGGGGTGTTAACAACAACGAGGGGAGCGGCAATAGCAACGGAAGGAGGGAAAGAGCGAGGGGTGAGGGAAGAGGGAAGAGAAAACAGGATGAGGTACAGCTGGAAGGCAATGAGAGGTGCGGGCTGGGAGAGGGGAGCCGAACGGGGGACTGGGGCGGGACGGTGGGGGGAAAAGGTGCGGGAGAGTGGAATTGGGGGAGAGGCGAGTGGGGTTGCGGTGCAGGGTTGAAAGGGGCGATTGGGGGAAGGCGTGACTCGTTTCGGGTTTTTCTCGCGAGCCATGGCAGGCCACCATCTTTTTTTTTTTTTCTCTCTTCGACTTGGGAGGGGAGGCTACTAGTGAGTTTGCTGCTGTTTTTTAGAAAGAGGGAGGTGAGGGAAGTCCGCGGGGGAGAAGAGGAGAGGCAAGGAGGAACTGTCTGAACCAGATGGACCACAGTTCATGGTTTGGGGGTTTAATTTAGCCTTTTTCCACACACACCCATGGGTGTAATTCTCACTGCACTGCAAAGCTCCACTCACATCTCAAATCGCAAGGTCCATTCACAAGCTTTTATCATTCACTCACAAACGTCACTCACATCTCTGTGATCATGCCCTGGGAGTCGCACGTGACGCTGCTGGCATTGCTGCAGTCCCCACCAACCACCCAGCCGTCAAACGTTGTGCTCCACGCCTTCTGACAGTCCAGCAGGACTTGTGCTGGTGGTGGGGGGGATTGAGGGGTCGCAGGAGGAAAAAACGAGATGGGCAGTGTTTGAAGAGCGAGGGCTCAAACGGTTGTCCAAGCACACCTCTCACCCCATTTCCCTCTCTCTCATCACATTCCCTCTCAACCCCATCGATCCCTCTCTCTCTTCTTGCCACAGTCCCTCTCTCTCGCCACATCCCCTCTCTATCGCCACGTGCCCTCTCTCTCTCATCATGCCCTCTCGCCACATGCCCTCTCACCACATGCCCTCTCGACACATGTCCTCTCGCCGCATGCCCCTTCACACTAGATCCCAAGGAAGAGCGATGGAGGACGAGGAGGGGTGCAGGGATGAGTGAGCAGGGACGACGGACTCTGGTAACCACTGCTCCTCCCCCCGTATCATCTATTTTGGAGTCACTTCTCCAAATTTCTCAAAAGTTGCACGCAGGGCTGAGTGAGCAGGAACGAAAGACGCCGCTGACCACTGCTCCTCGTCTCATCTCATCAATCTGTGAGTCACTTTTGAGAATTCCCAAAAAGGGATGCGACCGACTATTCACTGCACTTCCCAGCTCATCTCATCCTCTCCTCCCTCCTCCCGATCCCTCCATCTTTCTGGGTGTGCATATACGCTTGTGTAACAAGTTGTTACGTGCCAGTTCCGCACGAAACATCGTCAACCGCATTCAGTGGATGCGTGCTCTGCCGTCGGATCATCCCGGCGAGGCTCCATATAAGTAGACGTCGAAAGCTGGCAGCTTGGAGTCAGCACCCCGATGCTTCGGGCCCATTGCCGTCCAAAGAATGGTCATTTGACGACGAATGCCGCATCTGTTCAGAAGAGTTTCTTACCGGAGGTACGTTCAGGATATGATTTTCATGCGCCTGCACGCACCCTGGGACTTGGCGAAAGGCGCGCTTTCGACTCGTGAAGCTGTGTGCCACGTCAGCAGAAGCAGTGTCCGGAGCAGAAGGGTTGCTGTGGGTTCCATTCCCTGATGGTCGCGGCAAAGCCGCCACGGTCACGAGAAACTATACACACTTCAGGCTGCTGGCCTCCCAGTCGAGTCGACTCTAATAAGAACCAACTATTACTCGATTCAGTAATCCGAGTAGGGTTCTCGTAACTCCTCTAATCACTCCCGTTCCCTCCCTAAAAACGCCGGGAAGGCTGGATTGTTGAAGTGGGAGTGGACTGAAACTAGACTAATGGTTGAAAGTGGCGGCGGCGCGACTGCCATTTTCACGA